GTGTGTGTGTGAGAGAGAGAGAGAGAGAGAGAGAGAGAGAGAGAGAGAGAGAGAGAGAGAGAGAGAGAGAGAGAGAGAGAGGTATGTGGAAGATTAGTGTAAAAAGAATGCACACCCTGTAATAAAGGGCTGAAAGGTTTAAAAATTAAAAGCATAATAATAAATTGTGCAGAGTGCCAGAAAAAGACAAACTGACGGATAGACGGAGCAGAGACTGCCAGAAAATATTCACACTTGATTCATGTGGATTAGGAAAATGAAAAAACAAAAAATGAAAAGAAAAAATGAAAAGGATACGGCCTTGTTCGATGAACGTGACCGCCTCCACAAGGTTCTCTGTAAATTTGAGCCTCACGAGCATCACTGCAAGCCGCCTCCTGTCATGTTCGGCAAGAACAAAAGAGAGATGAGATAGAGAAACAGCAGCATCAGGGCATACTCACACTCGGAAGTTCTTCAACTTCTCTGTGGACGTAATTGAGGTCAGATGCATCCAGGCCGGGCCGTAAAAGCGGTCAGATACATTTGAGATATACAGCTAGTCTCAGCTAGAGTGAGTACGCCATCAGTTTCCCATCCATGGATCGACTTCTAGTGCCCTCTCCCCCTTCTTGCTCCCGACTTCTAGTGCCCTCTTCCCCTTCTTGCTCCCAACTTCTAGTGCCCTCTTCCCCTTCTTGCTCCCGACTTCTAGTGCCCTCTTCCCCTTCTTGCTCCCGACTTCTAGTGCCCTCTTCCCCTTCTTGCTCCTGACTTCTAGTGCCCATCTTCCCCTTCTTGCTCCCGACTTCTAGTGCCCTCTTCCCCTTCTTGCTCCCCACTTCTAGTGCCCTCTTCCCCTTCTTGGAGGAAACCCACATTAGAAGAAGAGAAGGGCACTTGACAGAGGAAGAGCGGAGTTGCAAAATTACAGCGGCAAACTGAGACAAACCTACCGTCTTTACTCGAGTAGAATGCCCGGTCAATATAGCTGTATTTGGGGCAACTTTCAGACCAGATGCAGCGATAATGAGTCAATGGCTGACCGGGCATTTTATTCGAGTTGAAAACTGAATTTACAGAACAACGAGAAACATTCAGAACCAGAAGCGGTCGAAAAATGCCACAAGCGCGAATTGCGAAACATCTCTCATTCTCACCACAAGCGCTCCGCAAACAGTCCGTCTACACATCCTGGACGACTGTCTAGTGAGCCTGCAGCCTCACAATGAACATAACCACCAGTCCGTCCACAAACAGGCTGCAAACAATGAACCTCCAACCAATCAACCTGCAAAGAGTCTATACCCCAAAAGAGCCATAAATATACACAGCCTGCAGACAATGAGCCAGCAAACAGTCAGCCTGCAGGCTCACTGTTTGAACTGTGCAGGCTATTAGCGGCGAGTCATATAACCCCACACAGCCTGCAAACAACGAGCCTCCGAACTGTCATCCCGCAGGCTCACTGTTTGCAGGCTGTGTGTGGGGTGAGCCATAAAAAAACTGCACAGCCTGCAGACAAGAAGCCTGCAAACGGTCAGCCTGCAGGCTCACTGTTTGCAGGCTGTTAGCGGTGAGTTATATAACCACACAGCCTGCAAAGAACGAGCCTGGGAACTGTCATCCCGCAGGCTCACTGCTTGCAGGCTGTGTGTGGTGATCCATAACAAACAGCACAGCCTGCAGACAACGAAGCCTGCAAACGGTCAGCCTGCAGGCTCACTGTTTGCAGGCTGTCCGTGGTGAGACATAAAACCGTACAGCCTGCGAACCGTCAGCCTGCAGGCTCACTGTTTGTTGCTTTGGTTTTGGCTCGTCTCTGCTATCTACGCCTGTATCCTCAGCGGTACCTGTGAGCCGACCCCTCTAACCGTTTTTAGTTCGAGGGGTCGACTCACAAATTTTCGTAACCACAGGTTTGAGGGGTCAACCCCTCGAACCAGGGGCCTCACAATTTTGGTAACCTTTGTTTCGAGGGGCCTCACAATTTGGAACCCGTTTTTAGTTCGAGGGATCGGCTTCCAAATTGTGAAGCCCCTCGTTCGAGGGGTCGACCCCTCTAAATTTGGTAACCTTTGTTTGGCTCTTCCAAGTAAAAACCACAAGCAGCCTGCAAACAATCAGCCTGCTGGTTCACTGTTCGTAGGCTGTGCGTCCTGACAAGGTCTCAACAGGCGAGGCAGGAAAAATCATGTATGTATATCAGATAATCGAATCAAGTACGTATATCAGATTATTTTCTCACGGATGAACGTATAATACAGGTGCAGCACCCCTGGTTCGCCTGTCCCCTCATCGCTCACATGCAGTGCATATCGTCTGCACCTCGTGCGGGTATGTGTAGGGGTCGTCTTTGACGACGTCGACAGGGTATGGGATTAAGTCGTCACTGACAACGGTGGAGTCGTGCCTCATCACAATCCTTTGAGCTTTCACGCGACCACTGTTAGCAGCCCCGTGTTAACGTGTGTTTGTATTCTTAATCACATCCTTAACGTGTGTTTGTATTCTTAATCACATCCTTCGAACTTTCACGCTACCACTGTTAGCAGCCACGTGTTAACGTTGCCTCGCTTGTAGTCTCCGAGGCTCCTCTTCGATCAAAACTATGGCGAGCCTGCTGATTGACCAATGCACTCAGAACTATTAATCACATCCTTTGGACTTTCACGCGACCACTGTTCGCTGCCACGTGTTAACGTGTGTTTGTATTCTTAAAGAGATGCTTTGATGACTCTACACAGCTTGTCGGGCATTGTGCCTTGTGTGCTGTTGACTGCTTGCCTCGAGTTTGCAGTTCTATGTGTGGCCCGGGATCATGTGCCCGGCAGGGCCAAAAAAAAAAAAAAAAAAACTTCTTTTAAAGTTTTTTAGTTTTATTTTTTATTTGAAATTTGGTAAAGAATTTCGATGTGACCCTGCGGCAAAAGTTGTTCAGTTTATTTGTCTGCAAAACATAGTTTTTAACTGTTTTTTTCGTTTCGTTTTTTTTTTTTTTTTTTTTTTTTTTTTTTTTTTTTTTNTTTTTTTTTTTTTTCACTGGGACCTTCCGTAGTCCTCGCACTGCCGGGCCGCCGGGGGAAATAGGGTGGCCCGGGCGGCCCGGCAGGTGGCCTAGACCATTTCTCAATTTACGCATGGCCCCTGCGAGAGGATGACACCATTGACACGCATTAAATGGTCCAATTATTTTTCTTTAAGTAGACCAAAAAAAAAGAAAGTTTCGAGTTCCGGTCCCTAGACTTATACCTCAGATCTCATCCCAAGACTCCGCACTTCTGTGCTGAAACAGGGTTTACCTTGGGGCTCGAGTGCTCGTTTGATCTCTAGGTTGTCACCCCCTTAAGTTGGGCGGCAACTACCTCTCCACCTCTGGTGACACAACCGCCGCAACGCATTCATCTCTCCCACCCACCCCAGCCAGGGTGGTGCAATGACTTGCTGTTTTCTGGTCGCCTGTAGCCTCTCTCTGTCGAGGCTGTACCATAGGAAGGGTAGATTCGTAATTTTGTTTGGCTGAGGGCTAACCGAGAGACCTACCTGTAGTGGAAATTCGTGAAGGACATACCTGCAAATTTGGGAAAAATATAGGCCTAACACTAACTGAATTTCCTACTACTACCCTAACTGCGAATAGCAGGCCCCGGCTACCGCTAGGACAGACAGGCCCTAAGGGCCTATGCTGATAGCCGGTCCTATAGCCTATAACTGGGTAAGGTAGAGGCTGAGAGGCCGAAACTGGTACGGTACCGGTCGGTCAGTCAGTCTGGTCTGGGTCGAGTCTAGGCTAGTCTTAGTCTACAGATAGGATGGGCACATCGGTTCAGGGCTTTTGGCAGTTGGTACCGAGAACATCGCTGCTGCGCTACGCGTGAACTGGAAGTGGTGACGGCTCAGCGTGGAAGGAGACAGGCATAGCCAGACCTTCGGAGCGCCGGCCATAGCTGGGACCTGCGCTGTACTCTGCCAGCACGCAGGGGCTGACAGAGGTCTGGGCTATCGAGGTCTGCTGGAGCGGAGAGAAGTTGGTGCCCTGCTGGACCCTCCTCCTCCGGAGTGGAGTTCCAGGGTGGTGGCGCTGCAGCCATAGCTGCAGCTTCTTCCTCAGAGGTCATCTTGTCAGGGTTTGGTGGCGCTGCTGCAGACTTCCATGATCCGGGAAGTCTTCCGACACTTCGACATCATCAGATACTGTGGCGCTGGTCTTCTTCTTCATCCTCTGAGTGGCGCTTGGCCTCAGAGGCCTGTTTCAGTGTGGCGCTTCCCTTTGGAGGCTGTATCTGGGTGGCGCTTGATGTTTCAGGGGCTGAGGGGTGCTACGAGTGGTTACTCAGGGTTGGGGAGTGAAGCGCTGCTCATTTCCGAGCAGCGCACTGTAGTACTGAGGTTATCCTGACAATTCGAGCCTCTGAGTTTAATAAACAGTGTGCAACTGGGTTTGGACTCTCATCGTTTCATTGTTTCCTGGATGTGATCTGCTCGGCTTTTCTTTACGACTGGTTGTGAGGATTGAGTGGAGTGAATTGCACTTTCAGTGTACCCTGTCATATCGCATGGTCAAGTCTTCCGCTGTGTTTATCTCTCCCTGTGCGGTGTGATACTCCTATCCTCTCCCCTTCCTTCTGTGTATGTATCGGCATACTTGGAAGTCCGTGTGAGTGAGTGTTGGTCTTCAGACAGCAAACAACCAGAATCATAACAGTTGGTATCGGAGCGATTGAATCCAGACTCTGGAGCGATTGATGAGTTGGCGCACCCATCATCATCTGGCAAGATACTGGAGTTGAGTCTCATGGCGATTCATCATCTTCAGGGTTGTTGTCAGTAAGGGTGGTGGCTGTGAGTGTGTGGCGAGACGAATTGGACAGAGAGTGACTCACTCCTGACTAGGGTTGTGCAGGAGTGGTTGGCGATTGGTGCTCAGAGGCTCTGGGAGGCTATTTTTAGCCTGGCGATTCATCTGGAGGCTGGCGATTGGCAGGGAAGTGATCCCAGGAGGTTGCGATTCATCATTATTATTTATTGTTTGAATAAGAGGGGAGGAGAAAAGGAGTAGTTCGTTTGGCGAGAAGAAGGGGGATTATCATTGACCTTTGCTGGTGTACATCTTCTTCTTCTTCTTCTTCTTCTTCTTCTTCTTCTTCTTCTTCTTCTTCTTCTTCTTTCTTCTTTTTCTTCTTCTTTCTTTCTTCTTCTTCTTCTTCTTCTTCTTCTTCTTCTTCTTCTTCTTTCTTTCTTCTTCTTCTTCTTTCCCTCTCTCTCCTCTGAAGTTCATTCATTTCTTTTTGCAAGTGAACGGCATTGTACTTTCTCGTGATTTTGCACTTGGAAATTGTCCAGGATCGTAACGATAACGAAAACTTGCCACCGATCCATAAAGAGTGATCGACTGGACAACAGAAAAGGGTTAAAGAAACAATAATCGCAATCACCTGCAAAATGACGTTGCGCTCAGTTTGTCGCACACTGCCAAACTCTTTTGTGATGCAATGATGCCCATGTTGTACCTGATGAAAGTTGCGTCCATGTAAGCCACACACAGAGAAACAATTTGAGTGTGAGACAGAGACAAACACACACACACACACACACACACACACACACACACACACACAAACACACAGAGGTTGGGACAGACAGCTTGTATACATTCAAAATGATGGGCTGGTATGTTCAAAGGAGGAATGCAGCAACTTTATCTGGGTGTGGAGGTGAAAGATCAGCTTACAGAGGGATGACGCCTTGAGGCTTGAGGGAAAAAAAAAAAGAAAAGAAAAGAAAAGAAAAGAGCGACCATAGTACAGAGTTAAGTTATTGTGTGGGTTGAGCAATCGTCAGATTCATCACAAATATCACGCCAGGCCTGTGCTGATCCCGTTGCATACCCGACAGTAAGTACAAGGGAGAAAGTGGATTATCTCAATCCACTGTCGAGACCATTTGCAATTAAGAACAAACAAACAAATGGCAAAACGCCATTGAGAAATGAAGAAATCCAAAGTGATAAAAACGCAACAGACACACGCACAAGTTCAAACGGTTTAAGAACTCAACGGCATCCATCCATCTATATGCACACAACTCTACGGATTGTCCACAGGTTCCAGCCCTGTCCCACGTGCGTGCCAGCGCCTGAAGAAGTCCACAGACAAATCCACCAAGTTGATATGGAGTCCCTCCCCCTAAACAAAAAAAAAAAAAAAAAAAACAGAAACAGTCTGTGTTACAGTTGCCGTCATCCTTTTTTATTTTGTGTGCGAGGCAAACGCCAATGTTCTTACTCTAAAAAATGGGCCCATAAATGGACCTGCAGCTGTGGAATAGAGAAGCCTGGAGGAGAGGGAGTGGATCGTGTCGATGCCATCGCTGGAGGATACTGTCCATCTGTCTCAGCGGTCCCATAGCGGCCCCTGCGATCCCAGCAGTCCCAGCGGTCCCATTTCAAGAGGGAGGGAATGGATCCATCAACAGGATCCTGTTCCAGGAACCATCAACAGGACCCATCAACAGGATTCATTCCCTTCCTCTCTCTCTCTCTCTCTCTCTCTCTCTCTCTCTCTCTCTCTCTCTCTCTCTCTCTCTCTCTCTCTCTCTCTCGTGAGGCAGAGAGAGAGAGAGAGGAGGATATCGCCCTCCCCCCACTCCTCCGACTGAGAGCAATGCACACTTCTTGTCCTACCCCGAACATAACACCCCCATCATCCTCCTAGACCGTTTATTAATGGGGCTTGGGACTTGTCAGTGGTCCATTTATCAATGGGACTGGTGGAGGATGTCCGCTTACCCCCTGAACATAATGCACCCTTCATCATCACTCTGCTTTTATGTCTACATGCATGATTAGGGTGCGTTGTGTTTGGGGGAGAAGACGGAGGGAACTCTCATACTGTGTGTTGGGGGGCCGAGGGGGAGGCGGAGGGGGGTGGAATAGGAGAAGAGAGAATGCACTCTCTCTGAGCGCTGCTACGTAATAATGCTGAATGCGATACACTGTATACTCTGACAGATAGCAGAGGAGAGCTCGATGCAGACAAGGAGAAGAAAGGAGAAGGCACCTTGCACGGAAGAATGAAAAAGGCATATACTGTTTGTTACCGTTTCAAAAAACGAAAAATAGTAAACGAAAAAAAATCCAAAAAACGAGAACAAAAGACAAAAAGGGAAGGAAAAGTAAAACAAAACAAAAATAATATTAAAAAAAACAATTAAAAAAAAACGATTAAAGAAACACGATAAAACAAGAAGATCAAAAGAAGGATGAAAAAGGGGGAGGGGGGTAGGGTGTAAACATCGTATCTATCTATCTATCTATCTATCTATCTATCTATCTATCTATCTATCTATCTATCGTCACATGAATATCAGAGCGCAAAACCGGAAAAAAGCAAAAGGAAACAAAAAAGATATCGATTCATTTTTGTGTCTTCTTCCTTACACCTCCCCCTGTTCAGAACCTCTTGCGTACAAGGCCGCCCACGTGGATGTAGGTTATATATATATATATATATATATCGTCAAATAGAACTGCCCGGTAAACCGTAGGCAGAGAGGGAGAAGAGGACATACCTCCTGATGAGTCGGTGAAACTCCGACGAAACAGTTTGTCACAGCCCCTCGTTTGTTGTCCTCTTCT